TTTATTTCTACATACATAATACGTATATATGTATTGAGTTGTCATATATATGTAAATTCAAAGTTTTTAGTTATATCATATATATGTATTATTGTTTATTAGTTATAAAAAATTAAAATTTTTGATTGGTCAGCTGGTACATGATTTGCAAAGTAACCAATCATGGCATGATATTCAAATTGTATGATCGACCAATCACGAGAAAGTTATCCTATATCCCAAATATGGGATCTTCCGTCTTATCGGGCTGATCTGTATCAATCTTTGTCTTATTGGGGGATGGCTAAAGCAAGATGTATTAGAGTTACTTTTTTGATATAGTTAGGGTTACTTTTTTGATGCAGTAATGGATAATAGTTTATATAAGTATCAATAAGATAATTTGTGTAGCATGTAGATCATTTTCAAATTTATACCAAATATACCTGGCTTTAACCGACCCCCTTATTGGAGGGATGTCTAAAGCCGTATCCAGTTATATGTTTTTATTTTTTAATTAAAGTTAGGGTAAGGTTTAGTTTGGGGTTAGGGTTAGGACATATAGTAAAATTGTCCTGCACCAAGTTGGGTTTAGACTATAGTTTCTTGTATTTTTTGCGATTTTCACTTTTTTGTCGCTGTTTTTGTCTCTTTGGGCTGATCTGTGTAAATCAAAATAAACAATTCTATTGGCTTTAGATCATGTGATTGACATGGCTTTAGATACAAAACCTACATTTTTAATACTCCTGCGTCTACTTTTTTAATATACCTAAACATACTCTAAACATACCCTAAAATTAACCAATAGGATTGCACATTATTATAGTAAAAATTAGTAAAAAAGTATATAAATTTTAGGGTATATTTAAATGTTTCAAAAAAGTAGGTGCAGGAGTATCAAAATGTAGATTTTGCGCTTTAGATACTGTACCAGGTACACCAACAAAATTTCACTGTTACGTGATAGTTAACAAAATTTTTTAAAGTTCATTTATGTTCAGGTTAGAACTATATGGAAGTTAGAACTTAGTGGTTCTAGTAGTAAAATTTCTTAAAGAAAACTTTTTGTTAGTGCATGAAAGGTGGTTTTTTATGCAAATTTTCGAGAAATAAGTAAATTCTTCAAAATGAGCATTTGTTTTGAAATTTTCTGATCATATAATGTTATACTAACTTAGTATTCACTATTGGCTAGCTTTTGTCAATTAACATGTAATAGTAAAATTTTACTTAGTGTTTTGTTGGCGCATCAGAGCTAGTTGGAGTACATCTATGTGCCTACCACCCGATTTGGAAATTATACTTTTTATCCAATCAGCATCTATTACGTCGAATTTACACAAATGATTTGTGTGTAATGTTAAAATTTGTTTTTTTAAAAAAATCACCTTTATCTTGAAATTTCGCTTATAAAACTAACTTTTGCATTCTAGTAAAAAAAATTTCTTGTGAAATTTTAGTATAGTTTCTTCTTTTAAAGCCTACCCTTACCCTAACACTAACCCTAATACTAATTGACAGTATTTTTTTTTAAAAAAAAATATTGTAATCATATAAACAATAACGATCATTTCTATTTTGAGTGAGAGAGTACATAGATGTATTCGGGCTAGTTGGCTTTAGACGACCTCCTTATTGGGCTGATCTGTATTGATCTTTGCCTTATCAGGCTAATCCGCATCAATCTGGTTATTTTTTTCTATAGTATCAGTCCTGAGTAGGGTTGGGGGCACGGAAAATCATCACACGGGGCACGGCATAACACCCTAAATCATCACATGATAATAATTAGTAAAACATCACATGTAATTAATAATTTCCATGTGATGATTAACATCACACCTCCGTGCCCCTGTGACAAATTGAAATCACACCCCCGTGCCTCCAACCCTAGTCCTGAGCGGTGTTATAACCTGGGGAGAGACTTTGTATTCACGTAGCCAATTTAGCTTAGGGCCGTAAGTATTAAAGAGATAACCAAGTATTTATTAAGCGTGTTATTTACAGGCGATATATACAAGACTGTTATTTATTTATTTATTCATTATCGTCTATCTTACTCTTCTTTGTCTAAAGCCACTTTTTATATTCTCATTTCATTCCTTAACTCTTGATATAAAAATGAAGTAATCCCAAAAATATTTACAAAATATGAAGTAATAGCCGTAAGATAAAATGTAATAATATATAGCTAATGGTTATGTAATGTGAAATAATAATAAATATAAACAAAATAATATGTAATCAACCTGGGCAGTTTGATCAACAAATGTAGTCACAAAAATGTAACAGTGAAATGAAGTAATTTATTCGTTGATCAAAATTTACAAAAATTTATGTAACATCTTCCTCTGGTAAAATATGAGCTCCAACGAATATCTATTAATGTCTTTTTTTTTTTTTTTTTTTACATGTCTGCTAATTTTTGCCACATGCCTCTTACTCGCATGCAACTATTGTGCACGACCCATTACGATTCAAATTTTAAGTCATGTGATTGTTTGATAACACTTAGTTTTAGTTTTAAGTTACTACCTTTTAATTTGAGTTACTTTTTTTTTTATCTATTTAATTTTTAGATTTTCCTCCAGAATCAAAAATGTGTCATGTTAATTTCAAGAACATTGAGATACAATAGTGGGCTATTTTAGTGAGCTGGGGCCTATACAAATACTGGAAAAATTCCTTAACAACACAAGTGATAGGAGTATATTTCACTCCATTTGTAAAGAAGTTTCTCTTTTTTTTCATTCTTATCTGAGCCTTTACCATTTTGGTAATACTATCCAGAATTACATTGATTCTTTGTATTAGCATTGTTAGACCCGTCAGACAATTTTTTAATGATCTCATCATTAGACATTTCACTTGTGCATTCGATCTTTCTGGCCAGCTTATTACTTGACAAAGGTGAGTCTTCATTTTCTTCATTGCTTGTTTGTGGTGATTTGTTATTGCCTATACTAACTATCTCCTTCGTTTCATTACTTACATTCTTTTTTTTATCTTCACACATTTCACACTTCACGATGACACAACTTTGTTTATCATCTTCAACATCTTTATTCATATCTTCAATTCATTCCATTTTTCTTTCAGGCTCATCAACGTTTTCGCCACCTTTATGTCACCGATTTTATCTGCAATAAAATTAGTAGACTCCTGATAATAATTGCATGCTTCACATTTATCTATTTTTACTCCAATTCTATTTTCACGCAAAATCCAAGACTACATTGTCCCTTCGAATTGTCTTTCTCAACAGACTTCAAGCACTGTTCATATATCTTCTGTTCGCCCTTATTGAACTCCTAGTGAGAATCAAATCTGTATTGCTCATCTGTTTTTCCATTTCAGCAACCATAACCAAGGTCATTCGGTCCAATGGTGTGATCTACCTTTGTAGATTTTTGATAATTAATGGGTGTCTTAGATTTATACTTTTTAACACCGATTTCATTTTGATAACAAGAAGGGCTGTATGAATCGGACACTGATGCTTGATCTCTATCAAGTGCTATATGCACATTCTTTTCAACTCGAACTCCACTTTGGTCATCATTCTCAAGCTTACGAAAGCTTGGGTATTTCTCAATTTGTGTCCATCTTCATGGTTCTTAGTGGTAGCGATCATTGGTCAACTTTCTTCGGAGGAACGTATTTTTACTATTTGTTTTACTGAACTACTTATTATGAGAGATACAGCGAAGCCCAAAGAATGTATCACATAGGACATTTGCGGGGCAGAGGTTATTACTGAAGAATTTGCAAGACAAGTCATTCGGTATGTTGGTGATGGGGCTACTATGTTGCTAGTTAGGATAGGTCCATATACGGCTAATCTTTGTACTGCCATTGTTTCATATATTTGGACTCGTTCGACAGCTTCATGTAGCGTATTAGGTATGAAGGATCTAACGGCTAATGATAATTCAGGATGGAGGCTTTTCACGAATATTTGAACCTGCGTTATTTCTGGGTACTGGATTCCTACAGACGATACTCGTTTAAACAAGTTCAACAAATTGATGGCATACTGTTCTACTGTCTCGCCTACTTGTTGTTTCCAGGTTAATAATTCTGCAGTCCACTGGTTTATCAAAGCTGGTGTGCAAAATGTTTTCCGAAATTGGTGTACAAAACTTTGGTCTTGCTTCATCTCATTGTTCCAATATTGTATCCAAAGTTTTTTGCTTTTCCACCACAGTGCAGCAGGACCGAACAGGTAAGAACCTACTACCTCTAACCATCTTACTCCTAAGATATTGTTCACTTCAAGAGCTTGTGTAACTGATTCCAACTATTCTACGGGATCTTGTTTTCCTCCGCTAAACATCGGTATCTTCACCAAATCTATTTCACCAAGATTTGCTTGAGGATCCTTAGGCTTTCATTTTGAAGAGAGTTGTTTTTCCACATTGTGTCCATGTTCGTCTATGCTATCATATTTTGTTCATATTTATTATTCTTTCACATTACATAACCATTAGCTATATATTATTACATTTTATCTTACGGCTAT